TGCAGGAACATAATTGCAATGTGTTTACATTACATAATATCATTGCGTACCACTGGCAAATAAAAATAAGTTGGTGTTAAACATTAAAATATATTGACATTATGCAATACATTGATATTATGATAATAGATTAATATTAGTACATCAAACATGATTTGTTTAAGTAATCTGATGTAAATAAAATACTTTGATTTGACAAGCATTAATTACTTGAGGGAAAGTGGAAAATTAAGTCAATCATACTTATTCATATTATGTGGGACCGATGTACACAATAAAATCAAGTAAATTGAAAGAACTTTTTTTTTCAGTGTGGGAGACAAGACTTCTAGAAAATCTGACAGAGTATTTCAAGCAAACAGAGGGTCATGTTTATCTTGTAGAAGGATACAGAGAGGAATTCTCAAATAGTGCAAAGTGCCTTCAAAAAGAAATGGAAAGGAGTGTTTTTAATCAGCTCACAGCAGCAGCAGAAATCAGAGAGGGAATGATAAAACTTGATAAAATTAAGAAGAATCATACAAAAGAGATTGAAACGGCAGTTTGTGCACTAATTGATGAATGTCGGAAAAAGAATATCAAAATGGGAAAGACAGAACTGGAAAATGAATTTCACAAGATGTGGAGTAAAACTCTGAAGAAACTTTCTTTTTCTGAACAAAAGACAACAGATGTCTTCACCAGCGTATCTCACTACCTGAGAATCAATCTGAAACACAGGGGGAGTCATGCATGTGAATTATTAAGTCAAAAACGTCTGCAGGATTGTGGAAGAGAGCGTTTCAAATATACAAGTGAGAGCATACTTCACAGAACTACACATGCAATGGGCAGAGTGGCTAAATGGTACAACATTCAAGATCACATAATGGCTGCGCAAAAACAGGCTGACAGCATCATAGATGCCTGCACTCAGTTTGTGAGTGAAACAGTAAAAAGAAAAAACAATTACACTGACACTTACATCCAGGAGATCCTATACATGATTGATGAGAAATTACAAAACAATCAAGATGTTCAGACAGACACTGAGTTTGAAGTTTCTCTCAAACAGCACATCTGTGGATTTGCAGCCAGAGAGTTTCAGAAAATGCACGAAGATTTCATCCAAGAAAATTATTCCTACAGATGTCTGTTGAAAAACAAGGAAACGTTTCGTGATGATTTCATTGATGTGTACCATGAAAGAGACCAGTGTCAGAAGAAGGCAGAAGAATTCACCAACCAGTGTTTGAAGCCTGCTGTTGAAGACTTTTGTCAGTCGATGTCTGGGACCTGATATCACTGGTGAAATGCTGACATGTGAGCAGTTCTGCACACAAATGTACTTCCAATATTCAGTTTTACTGGATTTACTTTCAAAAGATGATTTTAAAAACTATGTGAGCTATATTTGCTCATATAAGAAATATATAAAGACATGGATACTAAACCAAATAGTGAAGCATTTCTCAACTGTGTCCACAGTATCTGAGTTTGAGGACCAACATCTTCAGTCATGTATCAGAAACATAAATGATGCAATTAACAAGGCCCAAAGAGGAATGGGTGATGATTCGAAGACATTTGTTGAAGATATTTGTAAAGAACTTGGTGATAAACTGGTCATTTCCCAGGATGCTCTTGGTGCTTTCATGATCCTGAACAATGCTGACAAGGAACAGTTTGCTGACTGGCTCATTGTGTCTGTGAATGAGATGGCACAAGACCTCAGAAAAGAGTTTCAAACATTGAACTTTGAAGTGAAACTACAGCATCTCCATGTACAGCCCCAGAATGAGCTTTTCGACATACTGGTTGGTTGTGGCAAACAGTGTCCATTCTGCATAGCTCTCTGTGAGGCAGGAGGAGGCAGCCACACTGAGCACTTTGCTCTACTGCATCTACCTCAGGGTCTGGGAGGATTCAGTTGGCCAAATACACAAAAACTGATCGCTGACATATGCTCTTCCTTTGTAATCAGTGGCCAGCGTTTTCGCTGCAGAGCTATAAACCATGAATATCACCCTTACAAGAGTTACAGGGACATTTACCCAGACTGGAAAATCCATACAGATGTGAGCCTTAAAGCATCAGACTATTGGAAATATGTGATAGCAAAGTACAACATGGACTTTGCCAAACAGTATAATAAAGTACCTGCTGATATTCCTGCTGCTTGGAAAAATATCACAAAACAGCAGGCAGGAAAAAGTCTCAAAAAGTATTTTTATGTCCAATGAGATTACTGGAATTTCAACCAATTTTCTTCTGGTGTACACACACACACACACACAAAAAAAAAATCCAGATAACATATCCAACTATAATACTAAACAAAACTAAAGTTGTCATTAGTGGACATATATGTTCAAGCATTATAGTTTAAAATAAGGCAAGACAACCACTGCAGTTTGTGTTCATCTTGACCTCGTCTTTAACACATTTAATAAAAGAATCAAAGTATATTTTGTTTGAGAAATTATTCTTTCCATTTTTCTTTTAATAATGTAGATGTCACGTAAGAACCTCAATCGTTGATTTTGTTTATGATCATATATTTACATTTATGTCTCACAAAAATCATTTAGTTTGTATGTGCGGTTCTCATTAATAAAACAACAAACAAACTGAAAACACACTCAGGGAATGTGTGAGTTATCTGATGTTACGCCCCAGTCTAGGGGTACAGGAAAGTAGCATAACTGTTAAAAAAGGAAGTGACCCCGCTCTGGTCCCCAAAACCATACACAGAAAACCAATTTCTTAAGTGAGTCAGGAGAGGAGGCGCTATCTAAAACCCTATGTGAAACAACTAACTGAAATAAACAGGAGAAAACGGTACAAGAAAACAATAAAGCAGCTCACCCCTTCTGTTTCAGTGTCTATTTACATCGTACTATTTACAAGTGAAAATGTATCTACACACTATATACAAAGCTCAGTAGGTCACAAGAATCACAAAAACGGATGTCACAGGGTTTGGAAGCCAAGATTGGGTCTGCTGCTGCTGTTAGTTGCTGCCGCTGACAACTGCTGGGCAGGGATCTTTTAAAACAGCCACATGATGAGGGGACCAGTCAGCTGCCACCTGCTCCCCAACCAGGAAGGACCTGTAGAGTCTTAAAGACACGGCACAACAAAAGTACACAGCCGGCCCAGGGCCGTAACCTCTGCACAAATGTTTTATGGACTGTGGTTTTCACACAGAGAGTTTACTATATCTTTTGTTTTCATTCATTTTCTTCTGACTGTTTACATGACAGGAACTTAAACGTAATTTTTTGATATGTGTTTTTTTTAACACACGACCTTTTGTTAAGAACGAGACTTTTTTGTAAACCTACACAGTATTAATAGGCTACATTGATCCAAGGTTATGAAATTTTTTCACAGTAGTCATATGCAGTATGCTTTATATCCACCATTACCAGCCAAAAGTTTGGACAAACCTTTAATGGTTTTTCTTTATTTTTACAAATTTCTACATAGTAGGTACAAGCTGAAGACATGAAATATATGAAGCAAGATATGTGGAATTATGTAGCAACGAAAAATTGATAAATAACTCTAAACATGTTTTTATATTTTAGTTTCCTTAAAGCAGCCAACCTTTCCTTTGTTGACTCAATGAGTTTCATGATGTAGTCACCTGTAATGATTTTCACTTCACATGTGTACCTTGTCAGGGTTCACTGGTGAAATTTCTTGCCTCCTGGAGCTGGGACCATCAGTTGTGTTGTGCAGAAGTCAGTTTGGTACACCTCATTTCTAAATGGTACTGTATACAGTAGCATAAAACTAAACTGTAGCTTTTTTCTGATTATAATTAAACTAAATCGGACAACTGAAATCAGTGCAGCTCACGAGTGTGACTTGTTCCCATCAGTGGAAGTGGAAGTGGTCTATGTACTGCCAAAAGAAACCTTGCGTGTGTGATGCACCTTTCATACGTATTTTAAAATGATTGCAAGAATTTCTCAAATATCCTGACAGTCTGACTTCATTTTACACATCTTTGTTTTGTGTATTCCATCTTAGAAAAATCTGCCTGACTAATTCGATCCTGAAAATAATAATAAAAAGGATAAAACATTGTGAAACATTGTTGATTGTTAATTATATCCTGGGCAGGGAAGATGGTTTTTACATAATGCAATAAGGCAGTTGTGATGTGTTTGTATGGAAATACAAACACTGATATTATTAGTTTAATTGTCATTTTCATCTCACATTTATTTATTTCCCACATAATATTGTATTATTCTATTTATTTACAGTAACAAAAGCACCCCATGAAAGATATAGACCTGTAAGTATATTTAATTTGAATAAACACTGAGAGTAAATTTATTTCTCTATTTTTTGGTGACACCAGCTTAAAATATTCCTGCGCCTGGGAATGCTTCCTTGATGGCTCCATTGTTGAGAAGTCCAAAATACACTTATGCAACACACATGAAGCGATGTTTGAGTCTAAATAGCTCTGAGTGTTGCACCAAAGTCTGAATGAAGCTCTTTGGTGCAACACTCCACAATTTGATGGTCAAACTGAGACTTGAACAAAACAGAAACACTGAAATGTCTGAAGCATTTGCGTTGAAATTGTATTGACATTTTGAAACAATATGAAACCAGTATGGCTTTCGTCACATCTTGATAATGCTATTCTGTGAAACAATGATGCAAACAATTTCCTACACATTTCCAAATAAAGATACTTATCTAGGAGTTTGTGTCATCATGTTTTAATTACTTGAAAATATATATTTAAATGGAAATAGGACTGAATGTGTTCTCCTTCTTTATGAGAAGGTAACATTAATAACATTTTCATGGGTCTTTTCATTTCAGCCAGTCACAACAGTCCATTTTACACTTGGTCCTCATTGCATTTTTAAATGATGACTTTCCTTAACTTTATAGCTACAGCTGTGTCTCTTGTATAAGGATGAAGTCACAAGAAACATTTTCTGATGTAAGTAGAAAAAAAACAGAGAAGAGACAGAATCAGAGATGGAGACTCCTGCCTGTTTATTTTTCTCCATGACAGCAGAGGCAGTTTTTACTAAATTATTTTAATGAATTTACTGCACAGTGTGCAGCTCTCTCTCTCTCTCTCTCTCTACAGACAGAACTCAGTGTAGCTCACCCGGGAGTCTCTATCTTTCTTGCTTTCTCTCAAGTGGTAGCCAGGGACATCACCACCAAACGGGAGCTGGGGCTGGGCAGCAAATTTTGGGCCCAGCGGTACCTGTGGTTCATGTGAGTCGTCAGCTGACAGTCTCTGCAGGTGAGCTGCTTACGACAAAACATTGTTGTGAAGGCATTGAATCTCTAGTAAGGCTGTAATGAAGAAATATTGCATCAATCAACTGAAAAATAAGAGAAGGAAGAATTTGTTCATTTGTTGGTTCGGCTGTTTCCTCGCTGTCGGCATTTCCTGGATGTCAGAGTTAATCTGTGTCAACTACTTGACACGTGAAGACTGAAAGCACACGCATAAAGACCTTAAAGAATCAAAGAAGGAGGATAAGTTCAGTGAATGTCATCAGCAGATTTAAGTTAGGGCTTTACTCTATTTGTAGCCATTGTGTAAGTGAACCCACACTTGTGTAGCTGCCCAGCAGAAATCATTGCACTGTTAGCTACTTCATCCATCTCACTCACCAACACCTGGGATGCTGAACTGGTAAATGGAACGTTTCTTATTTATGTTACACTTTTCTACTCTGAGCAATCTAAGTGCTTTTTATTATAAGCGACATTCAGGTAGAGCAGAGGGTACCTAACAATTCATATTCTTAGGAATCAAATCAAATCAAATAATAATAATAATAATAATAATAATAATATAACTGTCAGAGTGGAATAAACTCTTCTGTCTCTCAGACATCTCTCGTCAGTGAAGACGTAAAGAACCTTTTCCTTTTTTGATCTTTTTGTTTCCAGTCTTTAAGTGTTTAAGAACTTTTCATGTGAGTCTGTGAAGACTGTCCACAGCTGCAAAGTCTTAAATCTTAAAAATAAAATAATTAGTAAAATTACACTCAGAAAATGGCAGAAACATTACCCCAGCAGTGTAATGAGTCATGACATGATGGGTAATGAGTAGGTCAGTGAGTTAAATAGCAAAGCATCACACAGTTGCTGCAGACTTTTACAGGAACTCTATTGTTTTGAGATCTGGTGGCTGTGGAGGCCATTTAAGTTCAGTGAACTCCTTTTAATGTTCATTATAACAGTTTGAGATGATTTAAACTTTGGGACATGGAACTTTATCCTGCTAGAAACATCTGTCTGAAGGTGGGTGCACTGTGTTCATAAAGGGGTGGAGATGGTCAGCAGCAACACTCAGACAGGCAACGGCATTTAAATAACTGCTCAGATGGTCCTGAGAGATATAAATTACATCAGCAACAGCAGCATGAACTGTTGATACAAGGCAGGATGGATCCAGGCTTTCATGTCATTTTGTGCTAAGTTCTGACCTTAACGTCTAAATGACACAGCAGAAATCAAGACCGATCAGCAGTTTATGAAATATTCAGACCAGCCTGTCTGGCACCAAAAATCAAAATCACTTTAATTACTTTTCTTCCCCATCAGCCGGTCATCTTGAATAAAATTCAATGTGGAGCTGCTCTTTATCATAATCCTGTCATAAAGTAATGAAAAATAATGTTATAAAAACAATAAAAGTATTCAATATAAGAGACCTGAATGCTATAAATATTTTTTCTTTAATAAAAGTGTGTTTGTCATATATATATGTATATATATGATTAAAGCACTTGTTGCCGGCTGCTGAGTTTGCATCTTTTGCTATGAAGTACAGCCAGACTTTTGACCGCTTCGCCTTGGGCATTTTTAATCTGTAGCTCTGCTCTAAAAGAACGTACGTACCTGGCCCCGCCTACTACGCTTGCAAATGTAAAATGATTGGCTGCCATCATGGCACCGGATACCGGTACCCATCCCTACAGTGAGGTGACAAAATGAATTAATTAAATATGCCATTAATTATTGAATTAAATGTTTCATTTTTTAATTAAATGCCCATTCACTTCACTAGTGTTTGTAGTTGTTGTTGAGAAATGCCCACTGAAAGAATGACCACCAGGGCAAGTGCCTGTAATCAGATTACAGTAACACGTTACTTGTAACGCATTACTGCCCATCTCTGTTGAGAACAAATAATGTAAATGAATAATAGTGTTCAAATTGTTCGTTAAAACTCTGCATATCTCAGAAAAACTAAAAAAACAGCTTTCTTTACAATGCAGCCATTACAATCTTCTTTGATTGGTCGCTGCAGGATTGTCATTCTCCTCATCTTTAGTTTTTTCCTATCAGTGTTTTAATTCCTTGAAATAAATTTTTCAAAGTCACTTTTTGCTTTCACTAGCTTGTTTTTAGTGTCCCACTTTTGGATCTTCTGAACTCACTCTGATTAAAGTTGTCATTGTACTAATGTTATTCGTGTGCAGCTGACTTCACAGCTGTGTGTATTATTTTTTTGCAACTTTTTGTAATCTCTAACGTGTTCAATAACATTATTACTATTCAATGATTATTATATATGATTATCACTTGGCTACGTGAACGTACATAAATCTGTTAAATCTCAGTGACACAAACACAGTTTCTACTCCCATTCATTCAGGTTTATATTCACACCTTTTACAGGAAGAATGGACAGCCATCACTTTAAGGGGGGGGGGGGGGGAGAAAGAGAGAGAGAGGGTCAGTTTTTATAGAAATGCATAGATGTGTGTTGTACTTCCACTTGGCTTATTACTTTCTAATGCAGGGAAAAGACATTGGCAAAGAAACACCTACCACATAAATAGTTTGATTTGAAGTTGCTCTTTTGAGTCCTCTCTATTGACTCTGACATCCTGCTATTAACAGTTTCATGGTATTGCTGTTTTTGCTTTAAACAAACCTCACAGGGTGGTAGAATATGTCTGCGGTGCAGAGGTCCGTGGATAACCTCTCCGTTGTCTTTGTTGACAGCAATGAAGGCAGTGAAAGAACTGCTCACTCCTGATTGGACACTGAGCCGCACCACCTTCTCCTTCACTCCTCCATCTTGCTGTCCTCTGAGCTCTCTCTCCTTCATCTCCAGGGAACAAATCAGAGTGTGAGCACCCAACCTGTGGACTGTTAATCTACAGACAAGGAAGAAAACATTTACAGTTCTAATGTTTCCTATTTTTGCTACATTAGTACATCACTGACTTTTCTGTTTTTCACTCCACTCTATCCTTTTCAGATGTGGAGGCTAATCCACCACTTGGTTAAGACTCACAATGATAACATGATTGAAGATAGCGGTCTACAGAGGATTAAAATCAAAATCAAATGTGAAAACTTGCTTCAGAGTTGAAATATGCCATTAACTCTGTTATCAAAGTTAGAGTTTTAACAATATAAATGATGCAGGTATAACAAACCTTACTTGATATTACTGACACACACCTGAACTAGTTCGTCCTCTCTCTTCAGTTGCACTCAGTTAATTCAACTCAAAAATGTCTAATTCCAGCCATTTCCACTTCCTACTGGTGTCCTCAGGGACCTCTACCATTTCTTATCTGGCTTCTTCCAATTGGTCATCTCTCCTACACATTTAATATCAATTTTCTCTGTTATGCTGATGACACCAAACTCTACCCGTCCTTAATGTGAAATGTTTATGTGGGGAAATAAACAAGTCAGCAGAGGTATATGATGGTTTTACCATTGTTGTTTCTAATGAACAGACACATGAAAACAATCGCCAGCCCATCCCAAGTATGGTTATTTTAATTATAAGATAAAGTAAGAACCATCAGAAGATAAGACAAACACTACACATGTTTTGGCACCTCGTCAGCAGTTTCTTCCTCCCCTTGAAAGTTGGCACCAGTACACATTCTCATTCCTACGGCGTTCTCTCACTGCCCAAGATTGAGTAAAACAACCTGCTTAAAAAGTCCACCGCCCTCTCTCCTACACACCTCCATACCTCCACAGGTATGTCGTTTGGACCAAGCACCTCTCCACTCTTCATAGTTGCCCTTTTTTCATCCTTACTAATTCTCTGCACATTCTGGTTTCCTTTCACGGCCAAGGGGATGAGCCATGTGGAGAAAATCAATCAGGATCTACACGCAGGCACTCGCTGAGATTAAGGTGGTTTATTGTAAAGTAAAGCACAAGGTGAAAAATGGCAAAACAGAACTAAAGATCATCTAAACTGGGAAAAACTAAACTACTAAACAGCAAACATGAAGGAAGGTGAGCAGATGCATAAGAAGGTGGATGGCAGGGAAAACACACAGAGTTTTCTTATTAATTAACAATAAACTTAGTGTATATGTACTCCTAAATTTGATGAAAGTAATAAAAAAATAGACAGCTCCCTCTTTTTATTCTAACTAATTCAAAAGATATTTCAACATTTATTTATCTAAAACAAAACAAGTTTACTCTAAATTGATGTTTAACAGTAAAAAAAAAGTTTTTATGTTTTCTCCCTAAAGTGTATATAAACATCTGGTTTCAACTGTGAATATACTGCTGTGTATTGAAATTCCTCTTGTTTTGCATAGATATACTGAACAACATACAAAGCATAATATATAAAATAACATCTACCTGAGTTGTTTCTTTGAAAGAAGCTCCTTATGTCCATTGTTGTGCACATCAGTACACAATGGAAACCGATTTAGAGACTTTGTTTAGCTGTGGAGGGTAACAACTGTAAATATGAAATGTAAGCTAAGACTCTAAAAAAATCAGCATTGTCGTTCGGCTTTCTATTTATCCATTTGTTGATTCACTCGAAGAGCAAGTAACGCAACCAAGTGATCAGTTTGATATCAATCTTTTGTGATACACCGTCATATTTACATTATTTGTACAGTACGAATGATTTGCTTTGGTACCTGGTCAAACTTAAGCTCTTCTCTGTCTGCAGCAAACTCGCAGGCGGCAGCTTCTCCCCCCTCGCTCTCACATGGGCTCAGTCGCTCAGTCGCCTAGTGCCTGAGCTCGGATCATACCAAAATTAGGGGGAATTTACGACGGTGCGCTCTGTGCTTTGTGTGTTGTTTTAGTTTTATACAGTTGTCAGTCAGGCATCTAACTAACAAATTACACTCCAAAAGACCCCGTGCTTCTGAAAAAACCGGGCTTAAGCCCAGTAAGCCACCCCCCCGCTCCGCTGATGGTTGACTCCAAATCTCCCAAACACCAGTGGTGTGCGATACTGCATATTTTGGTATCTATCCGATAACAAGTAAATTCGGGCCAGTATCGCCAATACCAATACCGATACAATACTTTTCAATAAATAAGGTGGATGCCTCATTGAATTGCTAAATCGCAATTAATTTTCATGACCTTAAGTGTTTGTGTGATGTTTCCTTTGGTATAATTAATTAGTTAAAACCCAGGACATAATTAGGAGAAATAATTTATTTTTATTATGTGGCAGGGCGTGTTCTGCGATGCCGCTGCAGGTTTGGTAGTGGTGATGTGAAAAGCATTTTTTTTTTAATCTTTAATCTTAAGTGCACGCAAACCAGTAAACAAATTAAAACAAATACTGTTGATAAACTATAATACAAAAATTACAATTAAAATTCTCAACAACAAAAACAACAACAAAAAAATATATATAATTAATATGTAAACAACTTAACAACCCCCAAAGTGTCTAAGTCACGTGACGTGTCAGTGCAACACCGAAACATAAGAGTGGGGGAGAGGGAGCAAAGTGTGCCTGCTCGCCGCTGACACAGGAGGGGTGAGTCCAGCGACCTGGTTGTTTCGTTTTTGCCGAAAGCACAGCATAGCAAACAAGCAGAACTCAAAGTAAAGAATCGATCTCACCAGGCTAGTATCGATCCGATACCGA